AAAATCTTGCCCCATTCAAATGAATGGGAAAATTCTTTCAGCTATCAAAATGTTCAGCTCTTCAAGGACATTCATGCTTTTATTCAGAAATTTTAAAAATTTCATACTTTTAAAATATTTAGCTTTATTTTGAAAATCTTTCCCCATTCAAATGAGTGGGAAAATTGTACTTCAGCATAATTTCAGGTATCAAAATGTTCAGCTCCTCAAAGACATTCATGCTTCTATTCAGAATTTTTCTAAACTTCATACTTTTGAAATATTTATCTTTATTTTGAAAATCATGCCCCATTCAAAAGAATGGGGGAAATTGTACTTCAGCATAATTTCAGGTATCAAAATGTTCAGCTCCTCAAAGACATTCTTGCTTCTATTCAGAATTTTTCTAAACTTCATACTTTTGAAATATTTATCTTTATTTTGAAAATCATGACCCATTCAAATGAATTGGGGAATTGTACTTCAGCATAATTTCAGGTATCAAAATGTTCAGCTCCTCAAGGACATTCATGCTTCTATTTAGAATTTTTCTAAACTTCATACTTTTGAAATAATTATTTTTATTTTGAAAGTTTTCCCTGATTCAAATGAATGGGGAAATTCTACTTCAGCATACTTTCAGCTATTTCAGGTATCAAAATGTTCAGCTCTTCAAGGACATTCATGCTTCTATTAACAATTTTTCAAAACATCACACTTTTAAAATATTTAGCTTTATTCAGAAAAGTTTGCCCCTTTTAAATGAATAGGGAAATTCTACTTAAGCATACTTTCAGCTATTTCAGGTATCAAAATGTTCAAGTCTCCCAGGACATTCATGGTTCTCTTCAGAATTTTTATACACTTCACACTTCTGAAATATTTAGCTTTATTTTGAAAATTTCCCCCCATTCAAATTAATGGGAAAATTCTACTTCAGCATACTTTCAGGTAGATATGCCTTTCAGGCATCAAAATGTTCAGCATTTTCAGGGCAATCCTTCAGCACATTGCATCCACATGCATTTTCGACAGGAAATGCATTTCTCTAGTTTGATGTAGGGTTTCAAAGTGGGCGATAACAGAAAGGAGAAAACTGGCAGTTTTTTTAGTGTTGATTTATTTATCTTATTCTGATTATTATAAAGTAAACTTGTTGCATATGGGAACTGCACTTGTAAACCATAAAAACACCTACAGTTACAGTCCCAAGAACAGAGAAAGATACACATTGATACCCAACATAGACATACAGTTGGAGTTAGTATAGGTTGAGACATTTAAAAATGCTTTTAAAGTTCTTATGAGGATAGGCTTTTAGGTTGTGTACAACACAAAGAACAAACAGCTAAGGAGTACGTAGTACCTGACAGTTTTTATTCAGGGTAACGAAGGGGTCTTTTATACAGTATAGGCTAATGCGGAGTCATATGAGAGCACAGTAGAGTGCTTACTCACATATTAAACATGCATGCAGAGCAAAATTCTAAAAAGGATGAGAGGTTACAAGCTATTTATAGGGTCTGTCATAGCATTAAAACAGGAAGTAGAGGCCAAACAAGCAGTCCAGCTCCACTGGAAAAATCAGCAGGTTCCAAAGAAACATGAAACACCTATCCATCACAACAGTATACAGAGATGTAAAAGAAGCTTGAACAAGCATGTTTTTAAGGAGTGTATGAGGAAAAGAAACAACCCAGTAACTACTTGCATATTTTTGATCTTCTATGATCACTGAAAATAACTGGCCAAAATCCACTGCTTGTCTGACTATCCATCCATCCATCCATCTTCCTCCGCTTATCCGGAACCGGGTCACAGGGGCAGCAGTCTAAGCAAAGATGCCCAGA